GTGGTACAGTTAGCAGGGTCTGATACATGGCCCCTGTGTAGAAGTGCATGTTGATCCACGTTGCCTGTGGGCCCCGTGAGCTTTCCCTGCCCCGTGTTCACCCCCCAAACCCCACGAGTCCATAAATACCCAGCGTTTTGTGCTGCTCACACCCCAAGGGAGGTGGGGGAGAACCATGCCAGCGCCGCGGCCATCGTGGCTGGACAAGACCGTGCAAGCGGGCAACTCAGTGGGGTGGGAGAGGCATGGCAGCCCTCCAAGATATTTTATTCTCTTCCTTTACCTGAGAGAATACCCAATCTTGTAGTTGCTGTTTGATCAAAACCCTCACAACAATAAAAGAATTCTACCTCAAATGAGCGAAATCTTTGGAGAAGGAATAGAGAATCAGTTCCTTAAGTGAGAAGAAGTATTGCAGCGTTGTGTCAAAAATGAAGAGCAGAGAGAAAAGCTTATACTTTCCCTGTCCTTAAAGTGCATTTAATCACCTTTCATATAGTAAATAGTGGAGCAATACTCCAGTAACAAAAATCAGGAAGGGGTTAGAAAGAAGCAGATAATTTATAGAGAGATGCATAGACATCATGACTGATAGCGAGATTAAAAACTAGCTAGAAATGCTCTACCTGTCTGTCTATATTTGTCTGTGTGTGAGTATATACATATATAAATACATATGTTTATAAAAACAGATTTATGTTTTAAAATCCCTTTGCTTTTTTCATGTGTTTCTAAGTCATGATTTAACATTTTGAAACATGATGGTGTCATCGCCATTTTAATGTGTTTGAGGGCTACATATTTTTCCTTCCCTTGCTGTGGATGCAGATGATGCCTTTTATTTAGCTTTTGTATTTATTAGTGGAACTCGGTATTTGAAGCTCCAGAAAATTCCAGGGTAAATTTTTAGGGCTGCACTTCACTGAAGCAGTTCATTTTCCCTGCTATTTCCCAACATTTCTGTCTCTTCTGGGGGTGATTTAGCTTCTGTCACATTATCTTTGCTAGTTACCCATT